GCAAACTTGCTGAGGGAGCACTCCAGCCCTTCATCCAGGTCGTTAATGAATAAGTTGAACAGGACCGGACCGAGAACTGACCCCTGGGGGACACCACTAAGTACAGGCCTCCAGCTGGACTCCRCACCATTGACAACCACTCTCTGCACCCTGCCATCGAGCCAAAAAACATGAAAAAATGTTTCATGTTTCATTCATGTTCATTGAAAAACATGAAAACATGTTTCATAAAACATGAAACTTCAATTAACAGAATCACAGAATGGCTTAGGTTGGAAGGGAMCTCTAGAGATCATCCAGTCCAATCCCCTGCTCCAGCAGGCACACCTAGAGCACAGGGTGGCAGCCAGGCAGGTTTGGAAGAYCTCCAGAGAAGGAGACTCCACAGCCTCCCTGGGCAGCCTGTTCCAGGGCTCTGGCACCCTCACAGGAAAGAMGTTCCTCCTCACATGCAGATGGAACTGCCTGTGTTTCAACTTGTACTCATTGCCCCTTGTCCTGTCACTGGCCACCACCAAGAAGAGTTAGGTCCCRTCCTCTTTACATTCTCCTCTTCTCTATCATTCTTTTTAGGAAACAAAAAACAGGGGGAAAAGGTGTTTTTTGACAGTTAGTTCACAGTTATATCAGTTCCCAGGTCACAGGCACAGGTTTTCATGCCTGGTGCAAGAGCTGAGTTTAAACTGATACACGGCTTCTGATCACCCCTGCTTTACACTTGCCCACTGAAGCACAAGTTAGGAGGAGGGAGAGGAGGAGGAGGAGAAGGAAGGCCGGGCCTCACCTCGGCCCGCGGCGCCGCCGCCGCTCCCGCCGCCGCCCCGGCCGCGCTGCCGMCGCCGCCGAGCGCCTGGTCGCTCTTCTTGCGCTTGTACTTGTCCTTGTACATCTTGTTGCGGTGTCGCTTGCACATCCAGGGCTTGCGCTGCTTCGCCACCTGCGTCGTGGTCTCGCTGCAGCCCTGGTACGTGCAGCTCTTGCAGCCGCCGCCGCCGCCCGCCGCCGCCTCGCCGCCCGCCGCCTCCTCCTCCTCCAGCTCCTCGGGCGAGGCGGTGCTCTCGCCGCCCGCCGCCGCCTCGCCCTCCTCGCCCTCCGCCTCGGGGCCCAGCTCGTAGAAGAACATGAGGCCGCCGCTAGCGGCCAGCGGCGGGTCGGCCCTCGGCGGCGGCGGCAGCACCGCCCCGGCCGCCGCCGCCTCCTCCTCCTCGCCGCCGCACGGCTGCATCACGGGCAGCGACACCTGCGGCGGAGACGGCGGCGAGGAGGAGGAGGAAGAAAGCGGCACAGCCGAGCTGACCCGCAGGGCGCCGCCGCTCGCGCACCCACCAACGGCCGCCGGTCCTGCCGCCTCGCAGTGCGCACGCGCCAACGCTCCTGCCGCCTCGCGGTGCGCATGCGCCAACGGCCGCCGGTCCTGCCACCCGGCGGTGCGCATGCGCCGCGGCCGCCACTGCTCCGGCCCCCTCTAGGTGCGCATGCGCCACTGCCGCAGCCAGGACTCCTGCCGCCTCGTAGTGCGCACGCGCGACCGCCGCCTCACTTGCCTCCTCGAGGTGCGCATGCGCAGCCGCCGCCGCTCCCGCCGCCTCGCGGTGCGCGCGCGCCGGCGCCGCGGGGCTCCCTGCGCATGCGGACAGGGCGGTGGGGGGGGGGGCGCGTCACGTGGTTGCGGTGCGGCGGGAAGGAAGGCGGGAAGAGCGCCGCGCGCCCCCTCATGGCGGAGCCGCGTCGTGCTCGCGCGCCGTGTTGGCGAGCTCGGCTGTGTGCGCAGGAGCCCGGCCTAACGGGAAAGGCTGTATGGTGCCTCTGAGGAAATATGGGCACGCATGGCAAATGTCCCACCTACTCCTCACTGGCGCCTGCTTTTCCCATGTCACAGGCACTGAGTTTTCCTAACTCCTGCAGGGGTCCCAGTGAGCCCAGAGCGACATCCATCTCCATCATCACCCACTATGCTCCCTCCGTTTCTCTTACTGCTTCCATCTCCTTGACTTTCTGCCTTTTTTCCTTGCAAATACTTGCCACAAAAACAGTGCTGGCCYCGTTGGGGTCTCCAGCAGTTGCCACAGTTGCCCTTTCCCATCGCTGTTAGGGTAAAGGAGTATTCCTGTTCACATCTGTGACCCTTTGGTTTCACCCTCAGCCACCTCCCCTACTTGTCAAAATAGCTGGTGACATCCTGCGTTTCCAAGTGACTGATGGCAGGAATTCTGCTCACTTATGGCCGCCTGCCAAYTGTTCTGTGTTTCACATAGCAGAGCTTCTGTCTTTATCTTGTATCTTAATATCACACAACGAGCGGAGAACTTCAGTGAGAAGTGGGACTATGAAATTCTTATGTCCTGTGTTGTGATGGCCCAACAAAGAATATAATCTAAATGCAAATTATCCTGTAACCCTATTGCTCCGTTATAAAAGGAAAAGGTCAAGTGGAGGAGATCACTGGGGATTTTAAAACATGGCTTTGAAAGGTACTTGAAAGGTACAAGGGAATGGAGAGTGAACTAATCATTTTTAAAGCACTCTTTAGAAACAGCTCATCTGAAAAAGGAATCAAAATGTGAATATGGATAAGAKATAAATTGGATAGTAGGGCTCAGAGGGTGGTGATAAATGGGATCGACTCCAGTTGGAGGCCTGTGGCCAGTGGTGTCCCCCAGGGATCAGTACTGGGCCCGGTGCTGTTCRACYTGTTCATCAATGTCCTGGACGAGGGCACAGAGGGCACCCTGAGCAAGTTTGCAGATGACACCAAGCTGGGTGGAGTGGCCGACACTCCGGAGGGCTGTGCTGCCATCCAGAGGGACCTGGACAGGCTGGAGAGTTGGGCAGAGAGGAACCTCTGGAGGTTCAACAAGGACAAGTGCAGGGTCCTGCGCCTGGGGGTGAATAACCCCAGGCACCAGGACAGATTAGAGGTTGACCTGCTGGAGAGCAGCTCTGCAGAGAGGGASCTGGGAGTCCTCGTTGACACCAAGTTAACCATGAGTACCTGAGGGGAGAGTGTAGGGAGGAAGGGGTGAAGCTCTTCTCTGTGGTGGCCAGTGACAGGACAAGGGGTAATGGGTGGAAGCTGCAACACAGGCAGTTCCATCTCCATGTGAGGAAGAACTTCTGTCCTGTGAGGGTGACAGAGCCCTGGAACARGCTGCCCAGGGAGGCTGTGGAGTCTCCTTCTCTGGAGATCTCCCAAACCCGCCTGGCTGCCACCCTGTGCCCCGTGCTCTGGGTGTCCCTGCTGGAGCAAGGGTGTTGTACTAGATGATCTCTATRGGTCCCTTCCAACCTCAACCATTCTGTGATTGTGTGATATCTGTCATTTATTGTGCCTGTACAGCTTAGCTATGCGCTGGGCTTATTCCTTCCACCGGCATTTGGGCGCTCAAGTCACACTGCCCAAGTGATGAAGTCAGAGATTCAAATCTCAGTGAGTTCAAAACAGATCTTTCTCTTTAAGAGTAAGCAAGGAATGGCCTATGTCCTCACTTATATTAATTCCCAGGCAATAATGAGTGCTGAACTCTTTCCATTAATAGATAGAGATGAGAATGACTTTAAGCTACTGATTTCAGTTTGTTAAGATTTGTTTTTCAATTAAGTTACAAAAGTTTCATGTATACTTTATCAAATACCATAAACATSCCATTTCATATTATTAAAGTATTGTAATTCCCAAGTACTCCAAATGCCTTCTAAATACTAAGAAGTCAGAAGTGTCTCATCCTTAAGGAATAACAGTTTTTTTTWWAAAAAGCAAAGAGATAGAAAGACTAAACAGTCAACTTTATTTTGCATTATATATAGATATATGTATATGTATGACAGGTAAACTAGCCACCAGAAATGGGTTCCTTTCCCCAGGCCTTTCTCATATCTCATTGTTACCTTTGACCCATGAGAGCAGGTACATTAAATAAGTCTACTATTCTGCTACTAAAAAGTAAATTTCCTCTTGCACTTATCTACAATTGCATTTAAATAAAACAGCTTAAAAATAACATCCACAATATAATAAAAAATAAGATAAATGTGGGTAAGATGGGGGTTAGAGAATATTCCTTGAATGATCTCAACTGGTGTCCGGTCTCCGGTTGTGAGCCGGTGTCCTTGAACTCGTCCCGAGGTGTCTGTSTGAGTCATGATCTGCTCCTCTGTCATACGGAACAGTTTCCACCTTGGCAGAGGTCGGTGTCTGCTAATTCTGGTGATTACTGTTCCATGGATTGATTTCTTCTCTATCTAAATCATTCAATTCGTGCGTTCTTCAAAATAACGTGTCAGAAGATCTCTCTCSTGCCAAGAAAGTGTGAATAACAGAGAAGAGTATTGCTTAGGGTAGTAAAAGTGGCTTAGTTGCTTTTGTTTAATGAAGCAGTAAACCTAAATAATGGGATACATTTACAAAATAAAAAGGAAGAAAATACGATGAGCTCAATTTTAACTATGAAGCATTCTCTTCCTGTAGAATTAGAGCCTCGATGATTAAAAAAGTTAAAACTAGATGGAAGCAAAGCTCAAGATAAGGGAAGCGGTTGTGTTTTAGCAGGAAAATATGTCAGATTAGCTGCACTGTCCACTGCTAATGTCTGTGACTGCCAAATGACAGCAACACATATGGTATCTGAATTTCAGTATCTTCTTCTCCCTTTCTCATGATGACAGGGCAGGATTCTTGCCTTTGCAGCTCTGGTACTAATACTCCTTTGTGCATCTAAGAGAGAGTCTCACCTGGGTCGCTCCTGCCTTCGAATTACTCGCACAGGTTTTATTCCACGTAGTCACTCAGAACACTCCTGTTGATATTTTTATCTGGGCATTTTTATCTGGGTTAAAAAAATTATGTTTTCTATTTTTGGCTTAATAGCACATTTTTCACATAGAGGCTTTTTAAGTAGCCATTTTCTTCTGAAAGATTTTTTTTTCACACGTGTGAGTCCCTGTCATGAAAGAGGATGGCTCTAAGCAATTTGCAGGAAGTACTTTTCTCCAGCTATTTTTGCACACTCCTTCATCACGTCGTTGAAACTCTGAAACAGCGACTTTACAAGTTCTTTTATACGGAGGGTTTTTTTCTGATTTGTTTTTCAATTGGAAATTGAGGATTTGTGTTGRTTTGTTCTTTTTAAGCAAACATTCTTAAATAAGCGAGGGAATTGTTATCACTTTGCCTTTATTGTGCTGCAGCAAAGGAGAGGGGAGAAGGGAATGTCCCTGATTTCTGGAGAAGGGAGGGACGGAGTCTTAAAGTGCTTGGAGAGAGGAAAGACAAAAGCCTTTGGTTTATGAAATTACATGATACGAATTGTCAGTGAATAAGAATTTTGATTTCTTCATTTACATGCCCTGAAACCCCACACTTCTCCTTTATATAAAACTTGGGGAAAATAGTCAAATTCCTAGATTTTAACTCTTGTCATATTAACTTGCCTCATTCTGCTCAAGGACCTGGTGTCCTTGAAATTCTTGCAAATAAATACACACAGGTTTTTTTTATATAGGGACTTCAGTGTGATCAGATTGAGAGTACCAGAGATGGAAAATAATTCACTTTGCAGGGGAGAAATAAGGGCTTGATGTATGTGTAGGACTGAAGCCTGGCTTCACCCTTAAAACATGACTCATCTGTTACTATTTCTTTCCCCCTCTCTTTTCAGACTGATGTTAGAAACCTTGTATTTTTAGCAATATTTAGAGTATCATTTTCTAACGCAAATACACTTTCTTTGCACTGAGGACAAACAGCTGTTTCATCTTGACAACCAGGGATATGTCTAATTTGGACCTGCCCACAAACATCCAGGATGAACACAGCCTGCTGGAAAGTGCTTTGTGCCCCACCTGTTTTYAAAGCCTTTCTACTAAAGCCAGATGTTTAAATAATTTAGTTGTGGAGGAAGCAGGTCCCAGACTTTCATTTAGACCAGACTGGCTTCAAATACAAGAATCTAACAGAGACCAGTCCTTAATGAACCTTCAGAGTTCATAGTCACARGTTTACATCTCTGATTCTAACTACCTTCGTATTTCTTCTCTTTCAGAGATCTAGGATCAGCAGATTGGTTGGTTACTACATGGTCCTGGGATTGCTGGTTCACATGGAATGTTTCCATCTCAAGCACTGACCATCACACAACCTCATCYCAAACATTTGTCCTGATTCACAATCTTTATGCATTATTGGTGTTGCAGCTATATCCATCTGCTGCAAGATTCTCTGGGAAATTATCACAGACTTTGTTGCACTTCGTCAAGAACCATTTCTTAGGAAAAGGAGCCTGAGTTATTTATCCATAACAATTGAATGTCTGAAAACTATAAATCTGCCACTCTTGCTTTTCTGCAGCATTGGCTCCCCAGTGAGAGGTGCTTCTACCCTGAGCTGAGGGAGGTCAGTAACTTCAGGTCCGTGCTTGGAGGATAAAGCTAGCTCACAGT